AAGTAAAATTAATGCAAAAAAACGAATTTGCTATACGGACAAATATTATGCATGCATAGTAGCAAATGTTAAACTATGCACTGGTTTTGCATTATTTTGCTATGCTTGCAAAATTTTAAATTGGTACTAAATTTTCAGTACAAGTAAAATTAATGCAAAAAAACGAATTTGCTATACGGACAAATATTATGCATGCATAGTAGCAAATGTTAAACTATGCACTGGTTTTGCATTATTTTGCTATGCTTGCAAAATTTTAAATTGGTACTAAATTTTCAGTACAAGTAAAATTAATGCAAAAAAACGAATTTGCTATACGGACAAATATGATGACAAAAAAGCAGCAAACCTATAACATTGCAGATATTTAACAAACATTTGACACGAAATCAAAATCAAAAATTGCGATCAATTTTCCATGAGAGCAAATGTATGTCAATTTTAGTACTGGAAATTTGTATCACATTTGCTTCATAAGTAAATCCATTTTTCTATCCAGTGCTAGATGACAGTTCATCTTGCTTGCGATTGATAAACATTCCAAAAATAATTATTTCTAAGACTAGTGGTCGCAGCTTTTAAATTCCCACTGCAAAAATCAAAATTAAATCCAGGCAAATTTAAATTTTCAACAGACTTATGGTCACTTAAGCCCATTACTGTAATCCATTTAAGTATATAATTCTATTTACTCGTTGTAAAATGTCTCTAAGTTCAAGATCAGGTATGTCCTTGATGGTAAAGTACGGTACTGCTTCATCAATTGAGTTAGTTACAATGTAAGCAACAACTGCTTTGGACATACCAACCAGTTGGTAACCATCAGAATAATGGAGGAGTGAATCATAAGATTTAACGCAATGAATTGGCATTAAGTGGTCTTCCTCTCCTTCAAACAGATGGAGTTGTAAATCTCCAACTGCCAAACTGGACATAGACCGATGGAAGTACTCTCTGGTTGGTCCAGAAGCATCACTCCCATCTTCTCCTTTGAATTGGACATCCCCTTTTGTAGAGAGTAAAAATCTCACGAAGGAGCTTGGGGGACTGTCTGTCAACATGTATGGGTTGATTGATACTTGAATTGCACCAGTGCACTCTAAACACTTCAAGTGATGAATTGGATTTGGGATCAAATGCTGGTGTGAGTAGATCATAGTCAAGTTCATCTGAAAATAGATAGAAACGTATAAACACAAGCTAATATTATTCAACTATTTCAGCAAGGCTGGAAACACAGAACTTAATAAACTAKCAACATAACAAGTGTCTGTCTGTCACAAAACCATTATAAATATATAAAGTGTCCGCAGCAATGTTAGAGACTTCACCTTCACCTCTCCAACCACTAGGACTAGTCCTTGTTCACTTAGCTGTAAAATATTTTCTTTTTGTAAATTTCTTGGTCTTTGTAAATTTCTTGGTATATGTTTGCGTTAAGAAGGCGAAGATTCTCCTCTGTAGTG